TAAGTATGGAATCAAAAAAATTTCTTATAATAGGAAGACCTACTAACCTGAGAAATTTCGACCTCAGACTTACTCTAGGCAATGATCGACAGCGATCAATAACAGATGCTAGATGGCGAAGAAAGGAATTAGAAATCAGAGGAGACTTGTAATCATCAGTATAGGATGAAAGAACAGCACCCTCAACCTTCTTTACCCAATAATTCTCATTTTGGATGTCTAGTTTCAACTTATATAGGGCATCATCTAGCTCTATTTCAGCCCATAGATCAAGCCAGTCTGGACGATCAGAAAATATGGCTAGAGATGAAATTTTTTGCATAATATCATCATCGTCAAAGGATAGCAAGACCCCAGAATTCTCTACTAAAGACTTAATTCTTTTGTCAAAAGCTATCATCAAGTCAATGAGATGCAGCCATGATATTCTAGCAGATGACTGAGTGCCGGTAGCACTCTCTTCGTCTAGTTGACTAATGTAACTAGGGAAAATTTCTTTTGCCATGTATGTGGTTAATGAAGTTACCATTGCTGAGATCCATTCTTCTCTACAACTATAACCAAGTAACATTGCTTCATCCACCAATGGCTGCAACAATTCATCCATAGAGTCAACAAAATCCCTTGTGATTTTATATACAAGTGTAAAAATAAATTCCGGTTTATCAATCCATTTGGAGAAATGCCGTTGGGAAGCTAACGATAATGGATTCACAAGCTCTTCTATTACCCAAAGTGGTTGTCGCAGGGCAACTTCCCTATCATGGCCCTCAAGTTGCCTAACTTTCCTTTTCCTTTGCAACTCTTGTAGATTGCACAAAGCAAAAAAATTTTCTGAGTACCTGAGTTTAAGATCCGCTTGCATACTCAGCAGAGGATTTGAGACTTGATTCACATTCCTTGCATCAGAATTAGAGGAGGTAAAGGCCGAAAGAGGTGGGGGCCATCCAAGCGAAGTAAGAAGTGCTCGATGCTCAGCAATTGCCTGGGGCCTCAAAATAGCAAGAGCTCGGTCCACCCTGTGATCAACAGCTGACACAAGTTGCTTCCACTGAGGATGTGCTTTTGTAATTGAAGCTAATATGCCTTCTGTTGTTTTCAGTGTTTTAATAGCAAGCATATGCATTTCCTGAAACATTTGAGATAAATTAAGGAATATGGTGATAATGCAGTTTCCATTATCATCTGGCAAATATTGTAAAAGCATGCTCACTTGTGAATTTTGACTAGAAGAATGTTTCCTCATGCTTTTGCTCATAGTAAATGATACAGCATCCTCAATATCGCCCACTAAAGTATCGAGTTTAAGCGCTGTCTCTGGAAGACAAAACAAAGAAAGGAGTCTCAAGAAACAAACAACTTTCACAAAAGGTAACACCTAAGAACTCAAACCAAATGCGGTATGTATGACAACAACCACTGAAAACCATAATATTTCTTGATTATCACACCAAATCCATATCATAAAAACCATTAAAATTGACTTCTTCGCAAGTTAAAGCTAACTTATGCTCAAGTTAAAAGTTAAAACGTGGAGAAGTTACATAAGAGTTTTTATAAATTAGTTTATGCATGAACTACTTTCAAATTATGGAGAAATCAATTTCTTTGTTCTTCTAGGTTTCCTCTCCTAAAAGTTCTTATGGAGAAGCATGTTCAAGCATGGTACTTCGATTCTGTCTCCAGAAAGACATAGAGAATGAAAAGAAAGCAACGCCTAGGAAATCAAGCCAAAGGAGATATCCATAACTGAAAAGGCTTAACACAGTTCTTGATAATCACAACAACGATCATGAAACACAAATGCTTAGTCATCTTTCAATTCCTCCTAGCCCATCAATGTTCATTGATATGCAAAGAAAGTATAAAGTTCAAGAGCCGTTTGTTGATGACACGAATGAAGTTTTAAGAAACAATAGCACAGTTCAAAAGAATAGATAATACCTAAGACTCAAATTCGTACCAAAACATTGAAGATAACTACAACTAATCTACATCACAACAATCGACCAAACACAGAACCATCTTATCAAAAATCTTCTAACAATCTTCTTCATTTTGCACAATTTAAAAGAAAAAGGAAAAAAGGAAAAAAAAAAACAACCTGCATAAACACGAACCGTCTCCAACCTAGCCACTTCCTTCGCCAAAGCCGCAAGTTCCTCTTTGAAACCCTTACCATCCGCTTTGCCTCTTCCTCCATCTTCACTCAACAAAACCAAAACCAAAACCATTCCTCAAAACTCAACGCAGTAAGATGACCTAAAAAGGCAAAAAATGATTATCCAATCGAACCTGGCACGACAGTGGAGGAGAGGGCAGCCAACCTATCGGTGACGTGGCCGAAGAGGCCGTGGATTTCGCCGGAGAAGGAGGCGTAAGCGGCGAGACCCTCTCCGAGTCTCCGAGTCAACTCGTCGAGCGCGCGATCCAACTCGGCGCACTGAGTCTGGAGCTCGGAGACGAAGTTGGGAGCATCGGCGAGGGCGCATTGGGTATGGAATCTGTGGTCGAGGAAGGAGAGTGCGGAGGGTGAGAGATGAGATGGTGGAGGTAGCGTTTGGAGCGACTCCATCGTGAAGCTAGAATTCTGATTATTCTCGAAGGCTCTTCACCGCCGTGTGCGGCTGTTCTGCGCTTCCGGTGTCGGATTCCGATGAACCTCTGAAAGATACGAACCTTGACACATAGGGCGTGGGTTGGTTCGCTTCATCCTATATTTTACCTTTTTTTATTTTTTATTTTTTATTTTTTGCATCTTTAATGTTCATGTTAAAATGAGGCAAACACTAACTAGTGCTTTTATGACACTGGATAAGACCACTTTTTAAGAAATTAAAAAGGATTTTTATTATGGAGATATGGAAAAATACATTTTAATATTTTTATTGTGTTTTTTTATAATTTTTAATAACTTTTTTATTGTTTAATAAGCCTTTTAGAAACACTAGTTAAGTTAATAAAACTCTTCAAATTATATTTAAGATTAAAGAAATGTTTTATTTCTCAAATTTTCTTCATAAAAAGTTTATAAGTTCCTTGTATATACTGAATATTGGTATGTGGTTTCCATTTATAATGACCGAAATTCTATATATATATGAACTTATTTTCTTATTTTCTTCTAAAGGTTTCTACAATTTACAAATTTAATAACTATTAATTAAAATTAATTAATAATATATTTAATTAGTAGAATATTCTCTTTCAATTACTTATGACGGAAATAATAAATCATACTAATGCGTATTGTTTCCGGATTTAAATTTATTTAATAACAAAAAATATCAATAAAAATCACTTACTCTATATTCAATGAATGAAGAAGTAAATTTTCTATTAATATTTCATAGTAAAAGGAGATTATATTAAATAATTTGAAAATGAATTATAAAAAAATCTTCATATATATATATATATATATATATATATATATATATATATATATATATATATATATATATATATATATATATATATATATATATATATATATATATATATGACATAGTATTATATTTCTAAATAATATATATACTTTTATTCAAATATTTCACATGCATAAAATTTGCTAAATTTTTATTAATTTTAAAATTTTGACTCAATTAAATATAGTTTTGAATTAACTTTATTTGATTTAGTTTTAGCTTTATTTAACTTGATATGAATTAGGTTGACTTGACTTTATTTAGGCTTTGTTTGACTTACTTTGTCTTGGATCTAACTTGACTTGACTTTATTTTTGTTCAATTTCGTTTTGGCTTGAATCTAATTTGACTTGACTTTATCTTTGTTCAATTTCGTTTTTGCTTGAATCTAATTTGACTTGACTTTATCTTTGTTCAATTTCGTTTGATGTGAGTTCATTCCAACTCAATTTAACATTAAATAGGTTGACTTGGCTCAATATGGGTCTTACATACTCAACCTAACGTGAATATGAACTAATTAATTAAGTATTTGTCCAAACCAACTTAGTCTAATGTGGATCAATGCTCATTTAACTAAATGTAAACCCAAATTGACTCGACTTAACATCGATCTTACTCATTTCGACTCAATATGAAAATTACCAACTTGATCTTAACTTGAAATTAGTCCTAATTTGGCCTTAGATTATTATAACTTGAATTAGCCTAACATGGAATTGGGATGATTAAACTTGAACTTAGTTCAAGCCGATTTGGTTCACTAAAACAAATCTTTATCATCTCGTTCCTAACATGTCATCCAACTTGGTCTTGACTTCACTCAACCTGAGCAAATCTAACCCAATTTGATCCATCCTAAGATCAAATTAACCTAACTTTATCTAGGTCCAACCCAACAAACCTTGCATGGTTTTAGTCTAACATAACTTTACTTGGATTTGACATGACCAAAATTAACTTAAGTCTTGATTAGTCCAACTTCCTCCTTTAGCTTAACTTAATCTAAGTTCGATTTAGCTTAGCTTTAACCAACCCAACCCAACTTTTAAAATATAAAAAATTACCTAATTTATATTAAAAAAATATAAATTTAAATTTAAGATAAATTCATTAAAATAAACTAAAAATAACATAGAACAAGGTAATAGTAGATTGGCTCTGAAAATTTAAATTTTTTATCCATCCCTGATATCGAGGTTCCATGTCTAATATCTAGGGTACGAAAATATCAAAGCCCCATGGTTTCTCTTGTGCCTTAGGACTGAGTTTTGATAATCTTAAAAGCTATGTTTCTACTTTGAAAAGCTCCTCACCCGAAAATGATCTCTGAATTTATTTTGGATTTCAAAGGACCAAGTATTGGGATAAATTATCATTAAACATTTAACAGGAAATTCATCGTGAAAATTATAGAACCAAAATCACAAAACCCAAGTTGTTCGAACAAGTCCCTTTAAATATTATTAGCACCCAGTCCATGTTTAAATATCATTGTTTTACAAACATGGCATTATATTAAGCCTAAACTTTGGATGTTGAAGCACTGCACAATTTCTAGAACCAGGAGTCTGCATAATTGTGTGACTATATTTGATTTAAAAAACAATAGGGGCTACCTAAAGCAAAGAGTTATGGAGAAAAGAAAAACAAAAAATTACAGCATTCTCTAGACCATCATAAACTTCCCTCTCATTCAGATGAGAAAAAGAGGAAAACACAACGTAAGTAGTAAGTGAAAATCAATAGTTTGATTAATAAGCATGTTGAACTGAAACCTCAAAATGGTGTAACACTGCCACTTCTTGTTTCTGTAGGGCTGTATAATGCAGACCTGTTCCTTGGTCTATTCTCTTCCAACTGCCTCACAACTTCATCCATGCTTGGCCTCACAGATGCCACAGGTGCACAGCACCCCATTGCCAGCTTCAATGCCTGCACCAACCCATCTTCCATAGGACTTCTTATCCCTTTCAACAGTTCCACATCAAACACTTCCATTGTTGTCTCCTCCAAAACTGCCACCTTCACCATTGAGGGCAAGTCCACATACTCACCACTTCTTCCATTCTTCCCAGGCTTCTTCCCAATCAAGATTTCAAGCAGTAGTATGCCAAAAGCATAGACATCCGTCCTCGAGCTGCATTTCTTCATTCTTTGAAGCTCCGGAGCCTTGTAGCCGTCGGTCTTGGCCTGCGCCACCATTTCGTCTGCTATGGAAGGAATCATCAGCTTGTCCAGGCCAAAATCAGTTAGCCTTGCTGCAAAGAAGTCATCCACAAGCACATTCTTCGACCTTACATTTGCATGAGTGATAGGAACTTCTAGTCCTGTGTGAAGATAGGCTAGACCTCTCGCTATGCCTAATGCAATCTTGTGTCGTCTGGCCCAGTTCAGTACTGGTTTTCCGGCTTTAGGTTCTGTGGAAAATTAAAATAACAACATAATGATCAATGCCAAGCTGCAGTGAAATTGTTAAGTTTGAAAAACGCAAACTACCATCTATGTTCACCAGTGAAACTTTTCATTTAAATTCAGTGTGATGCTCCAGAAATTAGACAAATTATACAAGGATAACCTTCAACAATGACATATCAGCACTCTATTGATAGGCTGCATAAATATTCATATATGATTACATTACAGATATAAGGAAGGATGCAACTTCTTGTTTTTACATAGTTATTGATTTTGGATTATGAATTTTCTGCACTGGGAGATCCAGAATGACAAGCAGAGGATGCTCCACGTATAAGAACAGCCCCGTTTCAGGAGTTTCTTATAATAGATATCATGATTGTTCAAAGATCTGACAGCAGGTATAGTTTCTTTTTTCTTTAGGCTTAAAATTCATCAGCACCCCATTTCAAGTGTTTCTTGCAATAGATATCATGATTGTTCAGAGATCTAACAGCAGGTATAATTTCTTTTCTCTTTAGGCCTAGAGAAGTTTTTAGTTGAAGAAATACTAATAAACACACTTCTAGTCAGACAATGAAAAATGTGATGATTTCACTCTTCAATTTATGAAGACGGTTTTCAATGGTTTAAATGAAATTACAGTAGCAGTGCAATTTGAATTGTCATTGTGCAAGTGTATGATTGAAATATAGAAACAATAACAAGAAATGCATTAGTGGAAGATAGTATGTTGAACAAACCATGTAAAAGATCATGAAGGGTTCTGAGAGGCAGATAGTCATAGATAAGGAGCTTCTCCCCTCTCTTCCCCTGATAGAAAGCTCTCAAAGGAATCAAATTCTCATGGCGAATTTTTCCCAATTGCTTTATAACTGACAAACATGAAGCCCTATCTTTGCAGCTACCTTCTCGCAACAATCTCAAAGCAATTGTGCCTCCATCAGCAAGCTTAGCCTTATAAGCTGTCCCATAACAAGTCTTCTCCAACACTTGCCCAGTTGCATTTAACACATCATCCAATGTCAAATTCTCACCTCCAGGGAACAACATAAGCTTCCCTTCACCAGCTCCACATATAGCATTACCACCATTCTCTTCATCTTCCTCTTCCTCATTCAACTCATCTTCACTCTCTCCACTCCCCTTCCTCTTCTTGTTCTGCATATACCCAATCAGCAAAGAGGCTAAAACCACAGCTCCCGTCATCAGACTAATAACAATGCCAGCAACTGCACCAGAACTCAGTGCTGAGGTCCTAGCACAGCTTGCCAAAGGTGGTCCACATAAACCAGGGCTATTCCCCTCAAAAGCATCCACACCAAACTTGGATTCTCCAAAGAAAGGCAAAACCCCACTGAAGTTATTGTGGGAAAGATTCAATTTTTCAAGCTTTAGCCCAGCAAGGCTTTGAGGAATTGTACCCATGAACAAGTTGTTCCCCAAGTCAAGCTGATTTAGCCCACCAAACTTTGTTAGGAACTCAGGGAAACTCCCGGAAAACTTATTGCCTCCTAAATCAAGCAACTGCAAATTCTTGCAGGATGAGTTGGGCAATGCAGGCTCAGAAACAGACCCAGATAGTGAATTACCATGGAGCCTAATGGAAACAAGCCTGTCACACAAGTTCCAAATGGACGGAGGAAGAACCCCACTTAGCATATTGTCACTCAAATCAATGTCAGAGAGGGAGGAGCTGTAGCCAAGCTCAAGAGGGATGGCTCCCTGCAATGAATTTATGTTAAGGTAAAGACTTTGAAGCATAGGGAACCCCCCGAGCTCTCTGGGGAGGGAACCAGAGAGATTTGCTGATGGGAGCTGAAGAGAAAGCAAGTGAAGAGAAGGGTCCTTGTGGAGTGTAAGGTTGGTAGATTGTGGAGATGACAAGTCAGTGCATGAAAGAGGAGTGCCACTGGAGAACACCCACTTGAGACCTCTCCACTGACAAAGTGGGATAGAGGAGTTCCATGACGACAAAACAAGGTTGTCAGAGTTACCTTGCAGTGAAGCTTTGATTTTTCCCAAGAGAAGTTCAACATCAGAGGAAGTGGATGGTGAAGGGGACAATGACTTTGTGGTGGTAGTACTGGCTTTGCAGAAGCAAAAGAAGAGGAAGAACAACAAGGACATGGAAATGTAGAGAGAGAAAGGCTTGAGAAACGCCATGAACTATAGCGAAGCAGAAAGAGAAAGGGAGAGACAGAGAGAGAGAGAGAGAGAGAGACAGAGAGAGAGAGAGAGAGAGAGACAGAGAGAGAGAGAGAGAGAGAGAGGTTGTAAGTGTTGTGTGAGAAGTTCAAAGAAAGAGGCTCTCTTTTCTGGGAAAGCTGACACGCTGTTGACTGAGAGTGTAACCAGTGTTGTGAGGTTAAGGTCTCTGTCAGTGTCTCATGCTATGTTCATTCAACGGCTATGATGCAATTCTACAAATCATGCACCGCTTAATGTTTTTTTATTTTATAACTATACCAGGCGAAACATTCATTTCTTTTATTTAAATTGTACTATTACTTAATAGGTGTTTCGGAATTAATTTCCTACTTTCTCACTGTCGTTTTTATATTCATAATAATGACTGTATTAAAAGTTTAATATAGGTTCGTGATAGATTTTCAAAGAATTTTTTATTTCATTGCTTAAATTAAGGAATTAGGCGTGGTTTTCTTTATATAAAGAGTCACTTCTTATAAATAAAAAAGTAACTTGTTGTTTAAAATATTTAATTGAAAATTAAGTTAATATGAAAATAAAAAAATAAGCCACTTGAGTGTTGTATCATTGAAATAAAATATGAGTTTGTCGTTTAAAAAAAGTATTAAGTTGAATTGTTCAGTTACTATTGTATAAAAACAATACATTTTTTGCATAAAAAATCTATTAAAAGTATACATAGTATTATATAATATTCATGGGATAAATGGAAATTAAAAAAATATGATTAAACAACAGTGTTTCATTTTAAGGTAAACATCCCATGTTTTAGCAAGAAAGGTGAATTTGCATGAGACTGTAGATTTGTTAAAATTGTCTAATTTGATTCAGAAAACAACTTTACTTAAAGTTTATTATTTAATATTTGAATGATAGAGAAGGTAAAAGAGTTAATCGAATCTCTCCTAGACGATATTAAAATTCTCAAAAATGATGTTTTGGACAATAAGAATATTCAATGATTTTTTCCCTTTTGCTTTTTTGCAAGTCTTGTGTTATTATTTATTTGCTTCTGCACGCTTACTTTTGTAAAATGGCCTACAAGTTTAATATTGCACTTTGCACCCTTTGAGGAAGGTAAGGTTTTCTATGCAAGAAGCTACTACCTCTTTCTTGTCATTTCAAGGCAGAGATTGTGAACCCCCAATCCCACCTGGTCCTCTCAGACCCATGCTCCTATCACCGTACACGTGTCCTTTATTAGTTTTGAATGGCATCATGTGATTGGATATGAGGTGGGTTTGTATGATAGAGCATGCACTGGATGTGCATTTTCGGGCGCAATGGATTCCATGTCTTGTGGGCCATAGAATAATAGAAAAGAAGAGATAATGATAGTGAAGATTGAAGAGAAGAAAAAACAAGAAAAAGGTGAATCCATGTCTGATGAAAGAATAGTTCGTAAGCTAAAGGGTGCACTCACTACAGTGACCTAGGCTGGGAATGAAAGTGCAATGGAAATTATTAAAAAATGAAATATAAATAAGTGCAGTAATATGAAAGAGCATATATAATTCTAATATATCCTTAAAACATCTTATTTTAAAATCATATGCTTACCTGTTTTAGGCTTTAAGGATATAAGATCTTAAAACGACTTATTTAGTTTTTACTTTAATGATAAATATCATAAATCAAGAGCTTTATAAGTTTAGTGGTTTATTGAGGAATTTATTTACGATAAGGTGCTTTTTTTTTTGCAATAATTATTATGTAATAAAGGTTACATAGATTGATTTACAATTAAATAGTTATAGTTACTTTATCACGTTGTTGTGAAATAAAAAGAATAAAAACATTGTTTTTTTTACTATTAACTATAATTTTTGATTTAGTAGTTATTGAAAGTTTTACATTGACTAAAGATAAAATCAATTTATTGTATATAAATGGATATAAATTTCTTACATAAATTGAAATTATATACATAAAGTCTACTTCTTAAAATGATATCAAAACCATGAATTAGAGCTTATCATAATAAAATTTGTTGTTTGTTGAGTCTATTATTCTATCTGTTATCAAACAGTTAAGTCTCATGTTCAAGATGTATATGCAATGAGTGAGAGGTATGTATTGAAAATTTCACATCAACTAAAGATTTGGTCAAATTTTAAATATATAAGTAGGTACAAACCTCATTTTATAAGTTAATTTATAGGGTTGAGTTAAACTTAAAGTTCACTTCTTAGTCGTAGTAAACATTCAATCAAACAATTAATATCATAGCCAAGATTGTAAGTTTGATTTACAGTGGAGCAATTGTCATAAAGGCTTTTATGAAAAAACAGAAATTAAATGAGATAATCTATTACCACTTATGATAATAGATTATTCTAGATCATTTTTGAAATATTTTAGCACTTTCTTGAGTGATCTTATACAAGTTGTCTAAACTAAGTCCAATACACAAATTTAAAAGACTTCTTACAACTTAAGACTAAACTACAAGTCTACTAATCTCATTTGCGTGTTTTGAATTCTTTGGAGTTGCTTTTTATCATCACCAAAATATCATGTTCTTTAATTCTTCTCCTTTTACTAACAACATGCTTGGATGAGGATTTTGTGATTACATGATTAATCTAATTAGAAACTTATATTTTCTAGAAACAAGTGTATTTTTGAATTTGTTTAAAGACAATGACTTAAGAAATATTGAATATTATAGTTAAGTATATTATTTAGTATGATTTGACTATTTTTAGTTATTGTGAAATATAGTTATGATATCTTTATTAAAAGTTAGAGGGTTGGAGAAACACTTAAAACATGTTTATTGTTTAGTAAGAAATTGATAAGGAATACTTTCAAAATTCAAAATTTTTTAAGTTGTTGGTTATATTGGATGAAAGCAAGCATGTGATGTATGAATATATCTCATGAGACAAGTTAGTAGCTCAAGTGATATTTAATGCTATATAGATGCCAATGTCCTAAAACCTTAGAACAAAAGAGACATTATAAAATATTTCTCTCCTATAAGAGTTTAGTTGTTCAAGAGACCATTTAGACATTTAAGGAGTGTCAATTGTCTCTCTTAAACCATTCCTCAAGTGTTAAAGTTGTTACACAAGAGATGAAT